AATGGTAAATACCACTCAGACAAGTCTGACCCCTGGAGAAACATCTGTTCTCCTGATGAAGCTGTGGCGGCAAGTCTGTCCTATCATTTCGAGTTCCCTGCAACTCCGTATGGCAAACCTTGTCGGCACTAGTGCAAGGAGAAATAGCTTTGTCTTCTTCGACCGAATGACAGCTGCCCAGAAAATCAGTCGGTGAGTTTACACTATTGTCCGATAGCCTTGCAATACCTTGTGGTAATGACTTGTTGGGGTCTGCAACATCGGCAGGGAATGTACCTGGCACGAAACTGGTCTTGGCCGAACAAAACCAGTGGCAAAAACCACTCAGAGATGTTTGGCATGCATGCAAAACTGCTGGGATCTGTGACAACTGCTTCGGTATGTCTGTCTCGACTCGGATAGACGAAGGTCCAGAGCGGTGGATAATGCCAGCAGAAGTACTGAAAGTAGTTTCATGCGGGTTGTACCATTCTGGAAAGGTGTCGTCAATGTCATGATGTACGGTCTGGCTGGATTCGCTATCCTTAGGGACATAATCATACGCCCACGGCTCCGGGAACTCGTCAAGCTCTGGATGACAGCCTGATGTGATTGTAGATGCCGGATAGCCCCTGAGTGTTGCTGATGCAAAAGGAACGTTGCCTTCCATATCCATGTGAGACGGAGCATCAAACATGTCACGGTCAAAGGTCCTCTCCATCCATGGTTCCTGGAGAGCATCGGGCTGCGACACTAAACCGTATCCAGCAGACTGTTCCGAAGAAGCCCAAAGTTGAGCCCATGGTTCAAAAACTTCTGGTAGGGGCCTATAGTCTGGGTCGAAAGAACTCCGGCTGAGCTTAGACTGGTCCTGTGTCAGAAATGCATCTTCGGCAGGAGAACCCCTTGAATGCTGACAACCGAAGCGTAATCTGCCGCAATCATACCATGCGAAAAACACCGAAGCATCTGCCGTATGGAAAAGATGCAGCAACTGTCTAGGGATCTTGAGGTGCAAGATCACGCCGCCTTCTGCAACAGTCTCCAAAATGGAAAAGTCCACATTGCGCTGTAAGGTCTTAGTAGGCGTGATCTGAAGGCGTGTCACCTTTCTCCATGTCGATCTCTGTGAGAATGTCGCGTTAATCGGCAAGCAGCTATATGCCATGGCCCGATCTGCACTCCACAGTGTGTGGAGCAACGGGATCGCCAGGTCCCCTCTGGGACGGTGGGCTCGAGCCTAAATCCTCTGGCCGTACTACTAGGAGCATTCGTGCTACTAGTAACAAGAAGCTACTAGGGCATCGCTACTAGGAGCAAGGACGCTACTAGGAGCAAAGGACCACTCTACTAGGAACAAGGACGCTACTAGGGGCTTCTGGCATCGCTACTAGGAGCAATGTTCCACATATTAGGACGCAAGAGCGATGTTACACGACGCGCACTCCTGCACGTGCCTGCGTGTGCGGCGGATGGGCAGTGAATGGCAGTGATGACCGCAGGCTTCTGATCATTGGTTGCACGTAGCAGAGGGGGCATTGGGGGGCATTGACACGCATGCTTCTAAGACATCAATCTTGATGGAGAAAAAAACATCAAGGGCGGGGTGACTTCCTTGAAGAAGCGTGAGCTATCCTGCGTCCACTGCCCTTACTTAATCCGGGCGCTGGCCACGAAGCCCGTGCCCTGCCCGGAGGGCCTTCGGTGGTAACCGAAGCTGACCCTCGGGTCCGGACCCCCCTCGTCACTGATGCCCCTGTAATTTACAGTGTTTCGCGTGTGTGAGATATAAAAAACACTGTGTTTTACAGGGTTTATTGCGCATATCAAAGCGCGACGCGGCGAAGAGGAAAAACATGCAAAAACGCTGTGTTTTTCAAGGGTGTGTCGGTAATGCGCGCCGGGCGGACAGACTTAATCGACATTTCGGGGGTGCTGGGCACGCCCTAACAGCAAAGGCGGAAAATATGCTCCAAGATGATCTGACAGAGGCCCTCAAGAGGACCCAACATAGGTCCCAGATATGGCACACAGCCGCAAAATGGCCCTACCTAGGTCCCAGATATGGGCAACATAGCCCCAAGATGGGCCCAGATTGCCTCAAGATGTGGCAACATAGGCCCCACACAGTTTCAAAGAGAGAGAGAGAGAGCGAGAGACAGAGACAGAGACAGAGACAGACAGAGAGAGGAGAGGGAGAGAGAGAGAGACAGGACCCAGCCCTACACAGACCCAAGTGGGCCGGCGCCCGGCTGTTAGGCGCAAGCCTTGAAATAAAACAGTCGCCTACTCATTAAGTAAGTACTACAAACATATGTTTGACGTCCGCGGAACTTCTTAACCGAAGTGCAAACAGTATAGTGGTGGCAAGTGTTTTGACCGCTTCTTTATCGGGCTAGTAGGTGTGAGGCCATCGCTAACAGGGTGGAGGCGACCACTTCTAGGTTGAAGGCCATTGCTGTATAGCTTGTAGGGCTAGCGTCCTTGCTCCTAGTAGTGATGCCCTTTGCTCCTAGTAGCTTAATTTGTCGGGTCCTCTTTTCGATCCCGTGGGTCCGAAAGAATACCCCCTTTGCTCCCGAGAAGTTGCCAGAAAATCCTTCCGCGTGAGGGGCACCACTGGCGCAACCAATTCCAGAGCGAAAGAAACATCAAATATGTTAGCAACAGGTAACAGATAAATAAACTCAGAACAGTTTACAAAACGTTTCTATCGAGAATAGCCATGTCCCTAACCTTGTTGGCGTTTGAAGTGCTGGTTTTTGCAACGTCTGATGTGGATTTGGATTGTTCCGGTATTCCACAACCTCAGCGTGTGATCTCCGGTGGGCAGTCTTTTCCCGAGTCTGACTGCACTGCCTGCATGTGCAACAGTTCCTAAATTATATCTCGGATTCACTGTGGACCACAATGGGACGAAGAAGAAGTTGCGCACTGACTTGGAGTGCGAGCTCATCTCCCGAGGAAGAGGGAAACATATTGTTGAGGTACTGCATGCTCTTATTTCGGAAATGGGAGGAATTATTGCCCTCGAATAAAGACGGAAGATCCTTCATGGCCCAAGATAAACCCTCTTTCCACTGTAAGGTCATAAGATCCAACACCGGAGAGCTCTTGGAGAAAATACAAAAAACAAAACTGTTTCGAACAGTCATTGTGTTCACCGAGCCAAGATGCATTGCATCATTTTTGGGTATTTTTGGCTGCCGGTGGAAAAAGGCCAATGGATTACACCCTGCTTTCGAGTCCACTTCCGAGCAGCCCTCAAACCATCCCTGGTTTCAAAACTCGCCATAGTTTTCCAAGCTTGGCGAGCGCCTGTGTTCTTCTACTTTTGCGCTCTTTTCATACCATCACCAACGGCATCTTCCTGTGAGCCCGCTGCACCGGCCACAACAGAGTCCAGCCTAAGCCACTGGAACCACTTGCATCCTGGAGGATAAGGAGGGAGGCCTTGAGCCTCTGAGGACTTTGCGAAGCCATACGCAAACTCAAGTTTCCCTAAATACCTAGGAACCAAATGAGCTGTGCGAGCGCTTCTTCGAGGAAGCTCCCCCCGCCCTCACGCGGGGGGAGCTTCCTTGAAGAAGCGCGAGTTATCCTGCATCCATATATGTAGTAGGCGCCTACTTAGTTAAGTAAGGGCGAGCTAAAGAATAGAAGCTAAGGACTAAGGATAGCCGGTTTCTGCTACCCATTTTCTCCAAAAAGCAATCTATGAAACTCCACAGTCCAGACGTTTGAAAACCAAGACCGCAGGAGTTACACTTCAGAGTGGAGACCAGTTAGTTGCCAGGCAAAGACTTTCGAAAAGAATGCTAGGACTAACTAGTCACTAGTTTGAATGCTAAAGACTAAACACTTTGATTTAAACTGGATTCAAGCCACTCTAAACCATCTTCGAACCGTCTGCCTTGAGGCACAGCTGCCATTTGTAGTTTAGCCGGAATTGAACCATGATACCAGTGTCAGAAACAAATCAAATCTGGATTGATGCCACTGTCTAACCACGTGGAGGCAATGGCAAATGCTGAAATTTGGAGTTGAGCCGCTGTAAAACTGTTTTTTTTGCGCAAGGGTAATATCAATATTTTTGTTCCTCTTATCGTTGCCACCTTGGTCAATGTTGGGGAGCCTGACCGCGCCCTGACCCAGCGGAAGCTCAGCCGTTTGTGTGAAGCTGCAACCTTGGCCCTCTGGAAACAAGCCGCTCCCCCTGATGACATTTGTCGACTTCATTCCTACTCTGCCCCTTTGGCGGGCCACCTCTTTGAGACAGTTCCTTCTCGAGCACTTGACTTACACCTCTCACCAGCCGAGTTCACCACGTGTGTGGCCTCCCGCTTGGGTGTCGATGCTTGCGATGGTACTCTGCCTTGTGGGATGTGTGGTCTTCCTATGGATCGCTTGGGCCGCCATGCGCTCTCCTGCATGGCTGGTGGTGATGCCATCTTGGTACACAACACTGTGAGACATGTTGTACAGGACTATTGTGAACGAGCTGGTATGCGGCCTACAGCTGAGGCTCCTGGGGTCCTTCAGGATCTTGCCATTCCTGAAGGCCGTCGCCGGCCTGCTGACCTCCTGGTGTGCCATGGGGCCGGCCTTGCCGACCGGCTGCCTGATGGAAGCCAACCACACCATTTGCCGCAGACAGCCTTGGGCATTGCCGTGATCAACGCCACTGGGCCGTCCCACTGGCCAAAGACCTTTGAATCGCCTGGGGCCGCTTCGAGTGCTTACGCCACCTGCAACGTGCTCACCAACAGACGGCAGCCAAGTGTGCTGCGGCAGGCGTCTTCTACCAGCCCCTAGTTTTTGAAGCCCAGGGAGGGCTCTGCAGTGAAGCTGGCAGTGTGCTGCATGCTCTTGCTCGTCGGGTTGGCGCCGCTGAGGAGTGCGACTCCGAGCTGGTGTTCGCCGACATGGTTCGCAAGATTGCCATTGTTCTCTGCCGGGCTGCGGCCCGCTCCCTGCAGCGCCGGCGGCGGACCTGGTTCCGGTCTCCTGGCACACCGGCCTCGGCTGCTGCCGTGGCCGCTGTGGCGAGCTGATCGTCCTTCACTGGTGTGACGAGTTGTTTTGGCTGGGTTGTTGCACTCCTGCCCTGGTGCCCTGGTCCTCGTCACGTTGTGGTGCATGGTTTGCGCTCTTGGTGGGTGGCCTGTGAAGGGTGTCACCGAGAAGACGGAGTTGATCATTCTCCTGGAACAGCTGCAGCCGCCCTCTGAGGGTGTTCCGCCTTTTGAGCTTTGAGATTGAGCGAGGCAGGATTTCACAGGTGACCAAGCATATCGAATCATCCAAGCATTTGCAGCTTGAGTCACAGACGACAGATCATGACAGTTTGTATAGTTTTCTATCCTATGCTGCAGCCTTTGCTGCAGGAGTTCCTTTTAGCTTGTCTTGTTGCGCTCCATACTGTCACAGCACAGGTTTGTGGAGCGCATGTGTGATACTACACGTATCCATGTGTGGATCATATCCCTCCTCTTATCGACTTTAGTGTTTTGATGTCCGACCTTAGCTTCTCGCGTGTCGAGGTTGCAGCCTACGTCCGGCTGACCTTGGAGAGGCGTTTGAAGAAATAGTATTCAAAGTCCTCAGATAATGTTCAAAGTCGCTAGTAGGTTGGAGGCCATTGCTATTAGGAGCAAGGACGCTAGGGGCTCCTGGCCTTACTACTAGGAGCAAGAAGCTACTAGGGGCTCCTGGCATCGCTATTAGGAGCAAGGATGCTAGTAGCAGGTTGGAGGCCATTGCTTCAAAGTCTTTGAACTTCGCTCCTTGCCTCAAGGCGTCCACGGAGGAGCGGCAAGAGTTCCAAAGAGATCTTCGCATATTGTTGGAGCAGGCAGGAGAAGCTTTACAACCTCGACAGTCAAGAATTTGGCAATGCTGTGCGTTGGGTTACACGCTATGTTGAAGTACTGCTCATTAAGCTGTTTGTTTTAAATGTACTCCAAAGAAATCCTTTTTTAGGCAGTGTCAGATCACACACGCATACGCACATGTGGTTGTGTACTGTCACTCTTGAAGTCGGTACAGGATCATCAACGTAAACATTTCCTTTTCGTTTCATGCACTTTTTACGTGGGCTTCACTTTGAGGGTTGTTTCATGAACTTAAATCTTCATTCCGCTTGCAAGCTAAGCTGGCGGTGCCAAAATGTAGTTTGGCAATGTTTTGCAAACGCTTGTGCGGAAAGACCACAGAAGGGTCAGCAGAAGCAAGCATGCGGCTGTTGGACAGGAAGTGCGGTGTCTTGGAGAAGCATGTGCTGTCGCGAAATATAGTAGCAAGAAGCTACTAATAACAAGGGGCATTACTAGTAGTAGCTAGAAGCTACTAGTTATCAAGAAAAACACCGGCTGAACTTAGAGAAGTTCAAGCTCGTCAAGAGCTGCTGGCAGTTCCGGTTGATTCTGTGAGGCTGCTGCCCGACAGTTCAAACCACTGACTACTGAAAAACAAGCATCAAGAAGGTTCAACAATTTTCGTGCTATTCGCGCCCCAAACCTCATTTCTTGCTGCTTTTGACACGATGCCAACACACAATAGACGCCAAAAAGTGTTTTTGAAGCTGACAAGACACAAGCACAAAGTCCACAGGGTTCCCAACCGTGCCGTGACGAGTCTAAATCCGCCAAGCCTTTGGCTTGGTTAAGTGTATGGGGAAGTGTTTTCGGTTCTGTGCATGTCCTTGCCTCAAGAAAATGAGTTGTCGGAAAAGCGAACGCTGCAGCTGCGCAGGATTCTTTTTTGCACATTCTTTTTTGCTAAACAAAAAGTGCTCTTCAAAGCTGGCATACCGTATTTTTTGCCCTTCGAGCAAGACGCGGTGCAGAGTCATATAGCTCATGACAGGCGTCTAGCGCACTTTCTACAGAATGTATGTCTGCAACTAATCCCCACCTCCCTCTTTATAAAGGTATATACTTGAAAAATGACTCGAATAGATACTCCCCCAGCCCCACAAGTCAATGATTCGAATCGATACTCGGCAATTGTAAAACTCCTAGGAGCAAGCACGCTAGTAGTAAGGCCAGGAGCCCCTAGTAGCGTCCTTGCTCCTAGTAGCGATGCCAGGGGCGTATGAACATGTTCTTTGGTGGCTTGCCAAATTGACCACATCGTGGACAGATGGCCTCCCCAGTAGCAATGCCCTCCACCCTAGTAGCGATGGCTTCCACTTTCTTGTCGGCAGTGCCTGCCGCTGCTTGTGTAGATTGCGTTTGCAGACGTGTGGACAAAGCTGCACCCGTGTAATCTGTGTTTGTTGCAGTGCTTTGTGCCGCCACTGGCCAACCACTTAGGTTTGTTAGGGCCGTTTAGGTGTTGGACTGGCTTGGATTGCGGTTGGGGCAGGTTGTGGGGAGGGTGCAGCGCCTGTAATTTGGGTTAAAGTCAAAGGTCTCACATATTTTAGGCTGTGCGAGTCTTTTTTGTTGTGCTGTTTTGGTTGGAGTCTTTTTGAGGTGGTTGCTTTGGTTTTGTTTGTGCGTGGGCAGGGTGCAACGCCGTTCCTAGAGGTCCTAGAAAACAATAGGCAGCAAGGCAACATTCTACATATGTTCAAAAGTTTTCAGGGGTACGGGCATTTGAAGCTGATTGATACTTGGCTTAGGGTTCCCCGCAGCTTTGGATATGTCACTTTATCCCTAAGCCTAAAGAGTCAGTGGCTCGCTCAAGAACATTTGGGCCCGAGCCCCGGCGGATGTCTCTTGGCTTCGCGCTGGATCTTGTTCGCGAGATCCGCTGGGCTTGGCCTACCTCGGGCTGCTCTGCGGGAGTGGGCTTTCCTCTCGCCTTGTTGCTGGCCCTGCTTGGCTTCCTTTGTGGCTGTTGCTGCGGTGGCCTTGCGGTGCTGGCGCTCGTGTCAAGCTCCTTTCGCAGAGCTTTGTGTTGGATTGGAGCAACCTGCGCCTCGGCTTTAGTGGTTGATCCTCCTGTCCCGCCGGACGCTCTGAGGCGAAGATTTGCTCAGTATAGGCCCTTGCATGAGGGCTGACCGGGAGGTTGAAGAGCTCTCAGTCCAGCTAGGTGACCTTAGAATCCAAGTCTCGAGGACGGACTCAGGTTATCGATCCAGTGCTTCACATCATCCAGGTTCCCCTCCTTCAGGTGCAATTGCTCGCCCCGAAGGGGCGCCTGCGGCTTCAGGCCCTGAAACCTCAGCTCCGTCAGAGACTGAGTCTTGGGTTGCTGTTGACGCCGAGCCAGCTCGTCCTCTTCCTTGGACAGAAGAGTGGGAGGAGTTGTTGACTCGAGCTGTGACGCCTTCGAGTGTCTTGGCCCTTGATCTTAGCCCTGTAGAGCACCTCTTGCCCAGGATCAGGACGACTAGCAACAACTGGTCACCTTTGGCTCGCCTTGGACGAGCCCTACGAGCAGGTGTCCAAGCTCGAGCGAGGATTGAAACTGGACGGTGGCCGCGTGGTAGCCCTTCCGCTGTCACTTTGCCCACCAAGATCTACATCATCCTCCGTCCCGCTCCAACCGGTTCTTCAGGCTGGACGGACGACTATTTGACCTATCGAGATCAAGTGCAAGGCCGCGGAGGCGACCTGCACGGCGACTCCGTGAGCCACGCTTTCGCATCCAGGGCGGAAGCTGAAGCCTACATCATTGGTGCCCAGTCAGCATGGCCTCCCATGCTGCCCCGGCGCCGCTAGACGAGGCTTACCTCCGGGGTCTGTGGGAGTCTCTCTTGCCTACAGGCCCCTTGCCAGGGGTGTTTTTGCTGATGCCCCAGAGAGAGAGTGGACACAGCGACCGCGCCTTTTGCTACCTGGTCAAGATCCGCTCCGGTGGCTTCATGATCGCAGCTCCCGATGTTGCAGAGGTTGGGCGATTCCTGGAAGAGCAACAGGGTGCCGATGGTCAGGAGCTCTGCGCCATCTACCAGACAGAAGCCTTGATGGAAACAAACAGAGGCCGTGCGTTGGGCGAGGGGGCTTTGTTGCTGGTCGATCTGCCATGGGAGTTGTCACGCCTGTTCATCAAAGTTCATTCCCTTCGGAACCCTGCATCCTACGATATTCTGAGGTTCACTGTGGGAGACCAACCATGTCGTCCAAGAAGATCTGCGCTCATCGGTGCTTCAGATCATTGGGTGCACGAAGTCATGGACGACGACACTGCAGGGGACTATGTGACTGGCGACTCCGAAGGCCTGGAGCCAGGATGGGAGCAAACAGAAGCAGTCGATCTTGGAGAGGCGCCTTCGGACGAGCTTGGCATCTTGCGCCAGAGGGTTCAGGAGCTGGAGACTCAGCTCCAACAACATGTGCGTCCTCCTTCATCTCGGGCTTTGGAGACCGTGCCAAAAGCATCACCTGCTCGACCTACAGGTCGAGGTGTCCTTTTCGACGGACCTCCCACTCATGCAGGTCCTTCGGACGTGGCCTCCACCTTGGCAAAGCTGCAGGGGTTGGCAGGCTCTGCGCCTATGAGGTTAGGAGCGCACGAAAGGCAGAGGGCTGCTTCTCAGAGCCATCCAGGAATGGAGGCCCTCCAGCAAGAAGCCGGCCTAGAGGCCATAGAGGAGGCCGAAGTAGAAGATGGCCTGCAGCAGCTGGAAGGGGCTCTCACGGATCCCATGCAGAAGCTCATGTACTTGCAGATGCGCCAGATGGCGATGCTCTCAAAGCAGCAGGCTCAACTCACCCAGTCCAAAGACCCCATCAGTGCAGCTTTGAGTGGGGGGTCAGAGTCGCAAAGCACGGGCAACGCTGGGATAAAAGGCTGCATGGCTCGAGAAGCTTATGTGAAGCTGCTCACGGATGCGAGAAAGGTGGCTACTGTGGTCGCGGAAAATGCGGCTACAGAGTTGGGCCTGGAAGTGACCAGCATAGGTCCGGGCCTCATGCGGGACTATGTCGAGAAGAGATCACCGCTGGGCGAAAACCGTGCCTTGATTCAGCAGGCCTACATGTGGGCCTCGGCCTGGGAAACCGGGTTCCGGTCTGGCAATGTGGAACTCATGGCAGTAGCGTCACGAGGGCTGGTCTATGTGGACCAGACGGCCATGGACATGAATCGAACAAAGCTGAGCTGGCTACTCACGGGCCTGCCAGAACCACAGTATTCGATCTGCCAGAAAAACAAGCAGGCCAACACACTGAGTCCGTTCAGCCGACTTGCAGCTCCCAGCTGGGTAGGAGCCAATGTGGCTTTCTTGAAAGACCTGGATTTTCTGGAGGGAAAGATCAAAGCTGCAGCAGGGCCAAAGCCTCAGACCTCAGACCAACGTGGACCAAGGGTCAGAAGATGCCGCCCCAAGAAAGCCCTGGAGGCCGAAGAAGAAGAAAGCAGCTGGCGGCAATGCCAGCAGCGACTCCACGGCAAACTAGAGGTGAAAAGGGAAGCTCCACCGGAGCTCGGTCGACCTGCTTCCTTGCTGCCCTCTTCTTCGTCTGAACGGAGGCCTTGGACGCCTACCGTTTCTTGCGGTCGGGAAGCGGGTCGACTGAGTAAGCCCGGTATTTTCACAGGAGCCCCTTCGGCATCTGGTGAGGCTTGGGGACAGTCCCAATGTTCTGAAGACCGAACGGAGGATGCTGGGATCCCTTTCAAAGCATCAATCTCTGGCGAGGTCTTCCCTTTGCCAATTAGTTGCCATGAACTCGTGGGGGCCACACTGAGTTCGATCGGGGCTGGCACAGATTTGTCCCGGTTTATCAGATTGAGCCTCTCACCACTCCGCGATGCTTCGCTTCCGGCACTCTCCCGGAGGTCAGACCTATGGCCCTGTCCCCCTCCTCGTTGGGGTCGATGGACGGGCACCTCTTCGACATTATCACCAAAGAGGCGGCGTCGGCTACGCCACCTAAAAGTCCGAGCTCTGTGTACACAGCATCTGATTCTGGCCTTGAACTGGTTAGCGTTGGGGCAGTGCAGCACACCTCCTGACTACGCCAGGGCTGGGTATCCATACACACCCGGCCAACTGGAGTTGATGGAGAGGCTTGAAGACTTAGTTGACTACTACCTGGGGGTCGGCGAGATCACCTTGGACTCCCTAGGTAGGGCTGGCGAAAAGTTGAAGAAATTAAGTGCAATTGCTTTTTCGTTACCTGGTGTTTCTGAAGCGTTCGATTTTGATGACATCAGCAGTTTTTTAAGTAATATTCAGAAGTCCTTTGATTCGTATTCACGAACTCGAAACAGACATGAACGAAGCTCTAGTAGTCAGCAAGCTTCCGGCCCGACTGGGAGAGACCTTGGTGCTCCTTGCCCTCGTGACCCCACTTTGAAAGTGCCCTCGAACGCTTGCTCGGCTAAGCCCGTTGTGGCTTCTCGAATCAAGTGGAAACTCAAGCCCAGCTTCGACCCAAGGCCCTATCTTAGTGATCCGGTGGTCAGGCAAGCGTTTGAGGACCCAGATTTTTTGAGGAAACCGCCTACAGACTGGCCTCGACTTCCTAAAGCAAAAGTTCACGCTTCGAGAGCAGAGGTGTTGGCACTTGCAGAGAAGTGGGATCAGTTAGGAGCATGTCGGTTGGTACAATGCAGTTCGGTTCCTGATATTGAAGCAGTTGGAATGTTTGCTGTTCCGAAAGATGAGCAGTACGACAGGTTGATCCTCAACCCCACGGTTGTGAATTCAAGGTCATTTGCGTATTCAAACTTCACAAGGACTATTGCACCTGGTTACCTCATCTCGATGATTTCACTTGCCCCCCGGGAACAATTGATGATTTCTTCAGATGACCTATGCGAGTTTTACTATACCTTTGTTGTTTCAGAGAAACGTGCAAAACGCAATGCAGTGGGTATTCGGTTTGACGCTTCAGAGGTTTCGCATTTGCAGTGTTTCGATAGCCGAATCCATCGAGGTGCTCTTTTTGTGTGTTTGGGTACAATGGCCATGGGCGATGCACTAGCTGTAGAGGTTGCTCAACAGAGCCACATTAACCTCTTGAAGACCAGAGCGGGGAATGTTTACAGTATCGTGCACCTATACCAAGGGGACCATTTTATGAGCTGCTCACGATCGACGACCATATCGGTCTTCAGAAGAAACATCTTGACAATTCATCAGACCCTTCATTCAACCGGGACATCGAAGTGTTTGAGGCTGCCAATGCAGCTTATCAAGATGTTGGCTTGACGGCCCATCCCGGAAAACGTCAACGGCGGGCCACAAATGCGGTGGTTTTAGGTGCAGAGGTTGACGGCGTCCGTGGCCGTGTCAGTGCTCCACGGGCGCGGATTGCACTTTTGAGCTTCATCACAATTGTTTTGGTTCAGAAAGGTCAAGCAACAAGGAAGATCATTCAAGGACTTTTAGGCTGCTGGACACACATTCTATTGTTTAGGCGCCCAGCTTTTTCAGTTGTTGATGCTCTTTACCATGAAGGTGAAGGACTTCACGAAGATGCAGTGTTCAAACTCTCCCGAGCCAGCAGAAACGAGTTGCTAACTTTGTGTTTGATCGCCCCAGCTTTGCAAACAAACATGCGCACTTCAGCTACACCATGTCTGTACATGATGGACGCTTCACCTACCGGAGCGGGAATCTGTCGTACCGACTTCCCATCCCATGCGGCGGACGAGTTCTGGAGGCGCTCAGAGCAGCGGGGGTATTACACAAAGCTTCAACAAGGTCCTGGCTTGATGTTGCGAGAACTAGGGTTTGAGCACCTTGAGCAATTTGGGGAGCCGGAGCAACATTGTTTGCAAGCAAGGCAGTCACTTCCTTTGAAGTTTTCTAGGCAGTTGCATGACCACACCATAGTGTTTGATTGCATTGAGCTCTTCTCGGGGCAAGGCAATTGGAGCACTTGCCACCAAGCAGCAGGACTCCGTGTGCATCCGGGTATTGAGAAGACAGCTACAGGAAAAGGGTTTGGAGATTTGTTTGATGATGAGACCTTCAGAGTGCTGGCAACTCTGGCCGCTCAGGGATCAGTTAGGGAGTGGCATGCTGCCCCTCCTTGCTGGTCCTTTGGAACGTTGCGTCGTCCCAGACTACGGTCAAAGGAGTTTCCAGCTGGGTTCAATCCAAACGACTCGGTCACGAAGAGTCAAACCCTGTTAGCTATCCGGACTGCCTTCCTTCTTACACTCGCCGTCAGCAGTGGGTGTTTTGTTTCATGTGAACAACCTGGATCTTCGGTTATGTTCAGGCTGCATGCGTTTAAGAAGCTTCTAGAACTGGGCTGCAGAATCACACGGTTTTGCTTTTGTAGTTTTGGAACGGCTTTTCAAAAGGCCAGCCAATGGCTTCACAACAAACCCTGGTATGAAGCCCTCTCAGGAAAGTGCAACTGTGCTTACTCTCGCAATCATTTCACGATCGAAGGAACTTTCACTCGAGCTTCAATCCCCGATTTCGATCGCCGTTGTCGTCCCGATGCAATTGGAGTTTATGGGAGGCTGCCTAGACCGGGTGAGGCGGTAAGTGCATTCTCAGCTAGCTATCCGCTTCCCCTTTGCCGCACGATGGCCGCAGGAAGCCGCAAGGCACACCGAGCAGCGGCTGAGCAGTTTGGAGCAGGCTTGAGAGGTCTTTCCGTGCCTTCGCAGCCGTGTGAAGCGGCTGAAGAGGACTCTGGTTTGCGGGACTGGTTCGACGATCCGGAGTGGGTTGAAGATGTTTGTGAATCTTTGACATTTAAGGAACTGTTCCGTTACAAGTTCTCAAAACTTGGACACATTAACTGCCTTGAGTGTCGAACTTTCAAGAGTTGGTTGAAGCATTGTTCAAAGGCACATGTGAATAGCAGACTGGTCGCATTGTTGGACAGCAGGGTTACGATGGGGGCTGTTGCAAAAGGTCGTTCTAGCAGTAAAGCATTGAGTCGCATCCTTAGAGGGTCATTGTGCTACACCTTGGGGAGCGGGCTTTATCCAGGGACCTTGCACTGCCGATCTGGTTGGAACAGGGCCGATGGCCCTTCGAGGGACAGTGAAGTTCCTCCAGCTTCGAGACCCGTCCCTTTGTGGTTGAACCGGTTGATCAATGGGGACCATGAGCTGTTTGATTTGATGGTTGAGTCATCTACCTGGATTCGACCTCTAGGCAGGTGGTTTCGGTTGTTGCTCCTCCTTGCAGGGGACATTGAACGAAACCCAGGGCCAGTGAGGCCTCTGCAACCTCGAGGCGAGTTGAATATGTTGAGCGGGTTCGCACCTGCTACTTTCAGTCGAATGGAGAAGTGTTTGGGCGCCTTCGAAAGTTGGTGCAAGTCGGAAGCGGGCCTGAGCCTGCAAGATGTGCTTCAGACTGCAGAGACTGCCAACATGGCGCTGAAGGCCTATGGCCTACACTTGTTTCGTCAAGGTGCTCCCAGGTACTGGCTTGTTTACGCCATCACTTCAATTCAACAGCTGAGGCCTGAATTTCGCAACTTTCTGAGCGGGGCTTGGCAGGTTGACAGGAAATGGCAGCTTGAGGAGCCTGGCAGATGCCGGGCCGTTCTGTCAGCACCTGTCCTTAAAGCGATGCTGGCTCTAGGTTTGTTGTGGCGCTGGTGGACCTTTTCGGGCATCATTGCATTGGGGTTCGGGGGGATGCTCCACCCGAACGAGTTCTTGACACTGACCCGGAGGGATCTCGTATTCCCTTCGGATTCATTGATGGAAGGTTCTGCATTGTACATCTTCGTAAAGAACCCCAAGACTGCAAGGTTTGCCAGAAAACAGCATGTGCGTGTTGACGACCGTTCGTTGATTTTTCTTGCCTGGTGCTTGTTTGGGTCCTTAGGACTTGATGAAAAACTTTACCCCGCGTCGGTGGCGGTTTTTCGAAGACAGTGGAATAGTTTGCTTGACCGATTACAAATTCCACGGCGCCAAGCGGAGGGTGGCGCCACCCCTGGCACATTAAGGGGCTCTGGCGCCACCTTTGAATACTTGCAGCGCGGGAACATCACAGAGATTCAGTGGAAGGGAAGATGGAATCGCTTGAGGACTCTTGAACACTACATTCAGGAGGTTGCGGCACAGTTGTTCCTTTTCAATTTGAGTCCTCAGTCGCGTAAGCAAATTACATTCTTCAGTTCGCACCTAGGCTTGATCATTGAGCAATTCTTTCCGGCCGAGTACCGTGAGTTTTGCAAAGCAGAATACTGAAGGTGGAAAGCTGCCTTGTTGAGTTGTCATTGGTTGGTCGACATTGAGCATTG